TATTAAAAAATGGATTTCATAAGGCATACCCAAAACTAATCAATAGGTGCCCATCTCATCAAGTGCATTCCAGGGGCAGGTGATGTGAGCTGGGTGGTACCTTACCCAGTTGGAACACCAGAATCCTAAAACCAAATTGTTGGTTTTGGTCCACAATTTGCTGTGTGCCTGAGTGCACTATGTATTTATTTTTCAAATGGATGTTTTAGCAACCAGCTGAGGCTTCTGCTTCCTTCAAATATGCCACAATCCTAGTTACTTCCTCCTCCTCCTTCCCTCCAATGGGCCCAAAGTGCAAACGTAAGTAACAGAGTCCCCCCAGTAAAGGCTGACAGCCCTGTGAGCAGGCTGCTTCCCCCAGCTGGGGCAGGCCTTTTAATATGTACCAGCTCCCCACCCCACCCCCACAAAGGAGTCTCAGTTCCCACCAGAGCTTTGCAGAACTTTACTTGGCTAGAAGGATCTGTCTCCTGCAAAGTAGACAATTAAAATAGATTTTTTTAATTTGCAGATAAACACATCTTAATGCAGCGATAGCTCTTGAACTTCTCACTCCCAGCCTAATCTTTAATTTGTCCCAGAAATGCAAAAACCTTGAAGTGTTCTTTAAATATAAAGATCAAAAAGAAAAAAAAAGGCACTAAAAGCTTTAAAGATACCTGTCCAAATTACCCTATAAAGAGCCCTTTAAAAAACAAAACTCCACATTCCCAGAGATTAACTGCAGGGGATCTACGTTGAGAGTGATGTGATGTTGTCATGAATGATCACAATAACGGACAAAACGAATCAGACTCAGTGTGGGGCCTCACAGTTAAAGAAGTAAACAGAAAAAAAAAAAAAAAAAAAAAGGTCTCCTGTGTAAGAAGTGTTTCAACTGCTGTCAAAGGGGGTTTTCAAGTAAAACCTGGGTGGGAATATACCTCAGTGGATGAGCCTCTGCCCTGGGTTCCATCCCCAGCACTGAAAAAAAAATAAAGTAAGAAAAGAAAAAAWAAATAAAAAGAAAGAAAGAAAAGAAACCAAAGCATGGAAGAACTGCTTCCTATGTACAGTGGAAAAGTTTACCCAAATAACGAGCTGTCATGGGGGACGTCTCAACAACATTCTAGTTTGTTTCCTCAGATCAAAAAGCAGAGACCCAAGCTCAGCATTTCTATCTGTGCTGTGGGTCATCTTCGCCGTTCCCTGGAGTAATCATATGCTGCATCCATGAAGCAACTGCCTAACACCTGAATGTTCTCAGTACAAAGACCAGTGGGGTCATATGACAAGGCTATATTTAGAGAAGGACTCTGTTTTCTGTTTTGCTCAGCCCTCACCATTTTCTGCTCCAAAGAGGAGTTTCAAATGCACATTGATCTTTCTCATTTAGTGAATGAACTGAATTAGCACCTGTTTTCAACTGCCAAAAAATGCACTTTTATTTTTTTTTTTAAATGGGGAAAGAGAAGTCTGTGTGCTGTTAAGTCAACATGGGAGGTATGTTTTGTTTTGTTTTCCCTACTTTCTTCAAAAGAACTTAACCAGAAAGGTACAGTAAGAATATTTACTAAATTTTCTAAATGCTGGGGTGTGTGCCTTAGGGAACCAAGCAGCATATGGGATAGTGGTAATATTCCCAGGGGATTTGGATATAAACCGTCCCCCTTACTAATGTTGGGGAAACTAACCCGTGTAACCACAAAGTGACTGAAAAGTCAACTCTAGGAAGCAAGAAAACAACTTGGTTGCATACCTTTATTAAAAAATGGATTTCATAAGGCATACCCCAAACTAATCAATAGGTGCCCATCTCATCAAGTGCATTCCAGGGGCAGGTGATGTGAGCTGGGTACATACCTCTGTGAGCCCTTTCCTCATAAAAGGCCTGGGAAAAAATAATAACTTTCAGAAATTAAATGTCATAAACATTAATTGGCCAAGACAAGACCCAACTTTTTGGAAGATGCTTTCCACCTATATTCTTTCTGTGGTGGTGACCTAAATATTTTCCTGAGGTTGAGCATTGGATTGATTAAATGAGTCTTTTAAAAAAAAATCCTGCCCATTCATAAGATGGATGTGGCTCAGATAAGCCACACTGACAGCATGACCCTAACCTCATGAAGTCTCCCGTGTGTTCAAAGATGATGCTGAAGGGCTCTGCTCGGGTTAACTGAGCTGGTGGGGAGGTGCCTGGCTGTTGGCAGTTGTATGTTTGTGGTTCTGCCTGCCTCCCCCCGCCCCTATCCCCTGCCTGCCCTAGAGACACAGAGTGGAAAAAATGCACTAGAATGAGCAGAAACTAAATAACAAAACAAACAAAAAGCCAGACATGGTGGAGGCACATGTCTGCAATCCCAGTGGCTCGGCTCAGGAGTCTGAGGCAGGAGGATCCCGAGTTCAAGGCCAGCCTAAGCAACTTCGTGAGGTCCTAAAAAACTTAGTGAGACCCTGTCTCTAAATAAAACATAAAAAAATAAAGGGCTGGCAATGTGGCTCAGTGGTGAAGCACCCCTGGGTTTATTCCCTGGTACCAAAAACAAAACCCTACCACTGAAAGGCCAGAAATGGGGTTGAAATGCCAGGATTTGTGGTGCAGGAAAGCAGGGCTGATTTAAATCTTGCATACTATAGATGCTACTCGTGTTTCCTGTCCATCCTACCCAGCTGTGGGCTAGCCAACAAGGGAACTATGTGGTAATTGGACAGAGATTTAGATTCAGGCTCCGTAAGCATTAGAGCACTCATCTAGCATGTATGAGGCCCTGGGTTCGATTCTCAGCACCACGTAAAAATAAATAAATAAAATAAAGATATTGTGTCCAACTACAACTGAAAAATAAATATTAAAAAAAAAAAAAAGTCAGCTGAAACGACCACTACCAACTCACAGGAGACAGGATGAGTATTCAGCATGAGMGGATCGTACCTGGTGTGGTGTGTCCAGGGCATGGAGAGCTCTTCTGGAGCACCACTGGTCAGCCCTGCCATCTTAACTAAGACAACCTCTGTCCAAGTCTCAATTCTTTCTGCTTCAGTTTTCCACCTGCCTTCTCCAGGGTGCTTGTGGTTGTGTCTCATAATATTCGTTGCTGCTTAGACTCTTTGTTTGTTCAGTACTAGGGTCTGAACCCAGGGGTGACTTAACACTGAGCCACATCCCCAGCACTTTTAATTTTTTATTTTGGGACAGGGTCTCACTAAGTTGCTGAGGTTGGCCTTGAACTTGTGATTCTCTGGCCTCATTCTCCCAAGCCACTGAGATTATAGGCATGGACCACCATACTTGGCGTGCTTAGACTCTTTTCCATTGTTGCTTTAACAAATTCTTTTCTATTTTATTTTTATTTTGTTAATATTTTCAGTACTGGGGATTGAACCCAAGGGCACTCTTCTGTTGAGTTACATCTCCAGTCTCTCTCTATATATACACACACATATATGTATATATGTTTATATATGTTCATATATGTATGTGTGTGTATATATATATATATATATATATATATATATATATTTCTTTTTTTTTTTTTTTGGACAGAGAGACATGCAGCATTCCTAAATTCCCCAGGCCAACCTCAAACTTGAGGATCTTCCAGCCTCAGTCTCCCAAATTGCTGGGATTACAGGTGTGCACCACTGTGCCCCACCAATTTTTTTAATATTTGTTCTTTAGTTATAGGTGGGCACAATATCTTTATTTTATTTTTAGGTGGTGCTGAGGATCGAACCCGGTGCCTCACGCGTGGTCGGCAAGCGCTCTACCTCTGAGCCACAACCCCAGCCCCCCTAGAAATTCTTTCATTTTTTTAAATCATTCAAATTTTTCCTTTAATGTTCAATATTAAACMAGGTTTGCCTAGGTGCTTAAAGACCCTAGAATTTAAGTATTATGGACTATTCAAAATTTGCCCACATGGTCAGGCATAATGGTCCACAGGGTGACCAGGTCAGAAAGGACCAACTGCTTCCTGTCAGCAGAGCCTAGGTCGCACTTCCTGCCTCCTGSCTCCTAGCCAGGTGTTGTGCTACCTGCTGGACAACAGCTGTGGTGGGGGGGGGGGGAGCCAGCTACTGACTTTGCATAAACAAGAAGGAAACTAGACCCACTAAGGCCTTGTCAGGGAGCGCCATTCACCCTTACACCTAGTGAAGAAAGGTGAACTCCAAGCTACTGGGGGTTCCCCGAGGATGCTGGGTTTTTATTTTTTCATTTTATTTTTATTCGTTATTTTCTCTGGGGCTAGAACTCAGGGCCTCATGCAAGCTGCACCCCTGCCCCTGTATTTAGCTTCTAAGTACTTTGTTTAGACAGGAGTCTTCCTTGCTTCTTTTCGTCCTGTATCCATAGCAGAGATGAGCCCAGGGGTCTGCAGGGTTGCGGACTAGCCTGCCCTGCCAAATGTATTTTTGAAAAGCTGGCCATTCCCATTCTTGGGAATTCTCGAGCATCACTTCTGGTCATGTTCTGTTTAGAAATTAGCATTCCTCCATTTAAAATAAAATGTCCATCGAGTGTACAGTACTAAGAAGTGCCGGTGCTGGGAACCTGCATGGGACAGGCCTGCTTCCAGCACATGGCTGCTTTTCAGTGGCTTGGTGAACCRGGGAGCTTCCTTCTCTCCTTCCCCTGCCCTCTTTCCTCCCCGGCCTCCACCCCACGGTGTTCAAGACGATTTTATTTTGTAACTGCTCTGAAAGCTTACTGTAGCTGGGGTTTAAGCGGTTGCAAAACGTTGCAGTGCTTGAAGTTTACAGAATGTATTTATGTCTCATCTTATGATCATGACCGCTTCAAAGGAACCAAAGATAGCAAAGCTGGTCCCCTCTGGCCCCAACCAGCCAACCCCAAGACAAGGCAGTTGAATGACACTGCTCTATTATTGAACTACTGGCTTTATAAACAAGACTTCAGAATGATGAAAATGTAAATGGGGGTCATTTTATATTGGAAATGAACATGAAGTTTCATTATTTAACAGTTTCCTCAGAATGCTGGGTTGTRACTGTTTTATTATCACACATTATGCAGATTTTATCTTTTATAAAGCACCTAGTATGTGCAAGAATATTCTGGGGCTGGGGATATAGCTCAGTTAGTAGAGTGCTTGCCTTGCACACACAAGGCCCTGGGTTCAATACCCAGCACCAAAAACAAAAACAAACTTACAAGAATATTCTAGATCTAAGGGGAAAAAAAAAACTATTATATATAAGAGCTGATCTCTGTCCCTGAGTTAACATATGAATAGTCCCTGAGGAGTAAGGGACTGTAATAAATATTTTAGATCTTTTTAGATCAAGGAGTCTATAAATCCTGAGGCACTACATATTTTAAGTTTAAAGAACCATATAGTGGGGGGGTGGGGGCTAGGGTTGTAGCTCAGTGGTAGAGCGCTTGCCTTGCATGCGTGAAGAACTGGGTTTGATTCTCAGCACATAAATAAATAAATGTCCATTGACGACTGAAAAACTATTAAAAAAAAAAAAAACATAGAGTCTGGGTCTTAGTTACTCAATTAGCCCTAGGAAAGCAGCCATAGCCAATTACACATAACTGAATGAGCACAACTGCATTCCAATCACACTCTACTTTTGTGTTTGTTTTGTGGTACTGGGTATTGAAACCAGGCCTTCGTGGATGCTAGGCAAGCCCTGTACTAATAAAGCTTTATTTACAGCAGTGGGAAGGGGCAGGGTCCACACCTGGATCCCAGTGACAGAGGAGGCTGAGGCAAGAGGATCAGAGGATGGAAAGTTCATCAGAAACTTAGTAAGACTGTGTCTCAAAATTTAAAAAAGAAGCCAGGTGCCATGGTGCATGCCTGCAATCCCAGCAGCTTGGGAGGGTGAGGCAGGAAGATTATGAGTTCGAAGCCTGCCTCAGCAACATCGAGGGAGACCCTGTCTCTAAATAAAATACAAAATAGAGCTGGGGGTGTGGCTCAGTGGTTGAGTGCCCCTGAGTTCAATCCCCAGTACCAAAAGAAAAAGAAAAAAAAAATTAAATACTTTTTAGTTATATATGGACACAGTAACTTTATTCTGTTTTTATTTTCATGTGGTGCTAAGGATCGAACCCAGTGCCTCACAAGTGAGAGGGAAGCGCTCTGTCACTGAGCCACAACCACAGTCCAGAAAAGGTCAGAGATGTAGCTCCRTGGTGCAGCACCCTTGGTTTAAACCCCACTGCCACACAAAGCAATATCAATAAGGCTTTATTTACAAAACTCGTCAGCAGTGCAGATTTGCCTGTGGGTGACCGAGGCTGAGAGCTTCTTTAGGTGTATTAAGTCATGCAGCTGCCACTGCTCACCATGGAGGCCAGCTCTTATTGTCACATCAGCACGTTTTAGATGGGGATATGGAAGCTGGAAAGAAGGCCATCTTAGCCCAGCTCACACAGCAAGTGACTGTCAAAGCTGAGTTTTGGAAACTCATTTTCCCTGTTCTGGAAGTGGGCCTTACCTGCTAACTCTAATAACAATGGTACCGACTTGAACCAGCCAGGCTTGAGCCAGACAGGCGGAGTCAAATCCTAGCTTCCTC